CGCCCCTCTTGTCTTGGAGAAGGAGTTGAATATAAGAAAAGGGGCTGAAAAATCAGGCTGAGGTCCCGTGTGGAAGCCTTGAAATGCTGTTTGCCTGGACTATTACAGTTTAGACTTCCCCTTCTCTTCCTTCTTCCTTTCCGCCTGCTTCTTTTCCTCTCCTTCTCTTCTTCCTTCATTTCCTTCCTCCCTCCTTTTTCACTTTTTATTTCCCTTCCTTCCTGACTCTATTTTTTCCTCCCTTCTTCCCTCCTTCCCTGCTTTCCTTCCTTTCTTCTTTTTTTTCTCCTTCCTTCCTTCCCTCCTTCTCTATCACTCCTTCCCTTTCCTTTCTTCCCTTCCCCCTTTCCTTCCCTTCCTTTTCCTTCCCTCTTCCTTCTTTCCTTTCCTTTCCCTTCCCTCTTCCTCCTTTCCTTTCCTTTCCTTTCCATTCCTTTCCTTTCCCTCTTCCTCCCTTCCTTCCCTTCCCTTCCCCCCTTCCTCTTTCCCCTTTCCTCCAACTTACCTGCAGGCTTTCAAAGGCAGCCAGGAATGACACAAACACACCTTGGAAGCCCGTGAAAGCAACCGGCTAGGGAATTGGCCTGTCATTTGGGTCTGTGCTGGGAAAGGATGGAGCTGCTCGGCTTAAAAAGGACCAGACAAATGGCGTGTTCATAAACCTGTGTCCATCGTGTTATTATAAACCTCCGGAAAGGCCTTTAGGCCATGTGGCCGGCAGTAATTGCTCCACAAAAGACAGTTAACAGTTTCCCCGGCTCTTCCCTAACTGCCTTCCTGACTTATTGAAGTTTGATTTTTTTTTTCATTCTCCTCTGCTGCCATTCATCAAGGGCAAGGACCCCGCTGGACCTTTCCTGCCTCCAAATGTAGCTGGAGGCTCTTTCGGATGGTCTGATCCTCCCGCCGGCTCTCCGTTCCTTCCCATTGGGCCCAGCTAGGTTTATAATGTCCCCATAGCGGTGTTTCACAAATTATCATAATTCTCCATCAATCATCTCCCTTGGAACAATGGCTCCCCCAAGTATCAGATGGCTGGGATGACCTACAGACGGAGGGAGGAGGAAGAAGACCGTGGGGCTCGGGTGAGGTAAATAGAACGAGATTTATGGGTTCCGGATATTTTTTTTTTTTCCAATGGCAAAAATTGGACGGATTTTGGATTTATCTTTCGTGGCGTTGCCAAGGTGTAGTTGGTAAGGACTGCCTGAACTGAGGCCAAGGGGAGAGAGAAACAGTACGAACACACACACACACACGCAAAAAGGAAAACAAAAAAACCTGTTTCAGGATTATAGGAAGTCGTGCTAATTTTCTGTAAGTGCAATTCTGAGGGTGCTACTTAGGAAAGAAAAAAGAATAAGGACAAAAACGTGGAGCTCGTAATACCTATCCATCATCTATCTCTCTATTCCTGTTGATTTGCCCTTATTAGGGAGACCCTCAATAGAAAAATCAGAAAATAAATCTTGTGTGTGTTTATATTATCTCTCTCTCTCTCTCTCTCTCTCTCTCTCTCTCTCTATCTCTCTATCTCCATCTATCTATCTATCTATCTATCTATCTATCTATCTATCTATCTATCTATCTATCTATCTATCTATCTACCTACCTATCTCTGTCTGTCTGTCTGTCTGTCTACCTATCTACCTATCTCTCTATTTATCTCTATCTATCTATCTATCTATCTATCTATCTATCTATCTATCTATCTATCTATCTACCTACCTACCTACCTACCTACCTACCTATCTATCTATCTACCTACCTACCTACCTACCTATCTCTGTTTGTCTGTCTGTCTACCTATCTACCTATCTATCTCTCTATTTATCTCTCTCTGTCTATCTATCTATCTACCTACCTACCTACCTACCTACCTATCTACCTACCTACCTAACTACCTACCTAACTACCTACCTAACTACCTACTTTCCTTTCTTAGTCTTTTAATTTATTCTTACCAATTGAGATTTTCACCAGAAAAAAAACCACAAAATAAATTTAATCTGATCTGTGTTTCTATCTTCGGTCTACCTATTTCTCTTTATCCCAGTCTTTTGATTTGTTCTCATTAATGAAGACTCCCTAGAAAAAAATCACAAAATAAATCCTTCTCTCTCTCTCTCTCTCTCTCTCTCTCTGTGTGTGTGTGAGTGTGAGTGGAGGCTGATAAGATTGTGACTGAGTTTTAATAACATGGCCCATCTATTTTCCCGGGTCCTTAACATGCCTCTTTATTTGTCCCTAAAGCCCTCTTCAGCCAAAACCCTTTTATTCCAGTCTCTCGGCCTTCTCTCTGGGGAGGTTGGGGTGGACTAAGAGTGATAGATAGATAACTCTATAGATTATCTTTCACAGATGTTTTCTCTCCAGTAGCCCCTGAGGCCATTCCCTCTAAGTAAACAGAGACTGAAAGGGAGGCGAGATATGGGAGAAAGATGTCTCCCCAAATCCCTTTCAGAGGAAGGAGAAAAATAAAATAAAGCAGGTTTTTTTTCTCTCCCCCACCCCACCCCACCCCAGGCCAGCCAGAAAGAGAGTTCCTTTGGGGCTCAAGCATCCCGCCTCGTTTGGTTGGCAGGAAAGTGAAAATACGGGCAAGATCGACTTGCTAACGTGAAAGAATCTCTGCAGATTCCCAGATCCATCAAGGGTGGATTCATCAGCCTCAGCTAGGGACTTCCAAGCTTCAACGGGTCAAGAGAACACGTTCTGCGTTTTTAACCGCTTGTGTAAAGGATAATCCACCAGGGATACACAAAAAGCACAAACACACCCTGCCAGTTCAACAGCCATGGTTTTGCACATGTCCTGGGCTGGACCCTGGACTCTTCTAGGATGGATGTTGTCTCTTTGGTGTGCTCCACCCCTATTTTTCATTCCTTCCCAGGTCTACGGGAACAGTAGCTGCTTCCAAAGGCTTCCCAAGCCATCCAGTTGAACTTTTTAACCCTCCAGTTTTCACCTCCCCGGCCTCTGGTTCTAAAACCCTAAAACCCCTCTGTAAATTTATCACCCCATAAAGTCCTGACAGTGCTTCTTTTACTAAGTGTTTAGGCAGAGTTTTATGTTGTTGGAAGCAAGAAGGATGGGGACTGAGGCAGAGCCATGAAATAGGTAGTACAATAGAATAGAGCTGGAAGGGACCTTGGAGGTCTTCTAGTCCAGCCCCCTGCTCAAGCAGGAGAACCAACACCGTCTCAGTCCAGTCTCTTCTTAAAAATCTCCAGTGATGGAGCACCCATGACTTCTGGTGGCAAGCTGTTCCACTGGTTGATTGTCCTCACTGTCAGGAAGTTTTTCCTTAGTTCCAGGTTGCTTCTCTCTTTGATCAGTTTCCAACCATTGTTTCTCGTCCTGCCCTCTGGTGCTTTGGAGAATAATTTGACCTCCTCTGCCTTGTGGCAGCCCCTCAAATATTGGAACACTGCTATCATGTCTCCCCTATTTCTTCTTTTCTTTAGACTAGCCAAATCCAAGTCCCGCCGTTCTTTGTATGTTTTAGTCTCCAGGCCTTGGATCCTCTTAGTTGCTCTTCTCTGATTTTTTTTTCCAAACTCTCAACATCTTTTTTGTGATAGGGTGACCAAAATTGGCTGCAGTATTCCAGGCGTGGCCTCACTAGGGCTTTTTATAAAGCGGTACTAATACTTTGCGTGATCTTGATTCAAAGTCCAAAATAGGTCCCCAAAACTGGCCTCGTCTCCCGCCCCCCTCCCCAAAAGAGCTTCAGAGCCACAAAAGCCAAAAACTTTCCTTTGGATGTCACGAAAGTAAAAGGGGGTTGGTGAGTTTTTCATGAGCACGAGAGATTCCATCAAATAGCCGAGCGTGCATTTCTCTCGATGGGAAAAATCTAAAGTCCATATATCTCTCGTCTGGAGTAAGAAGCAGTCTCGGCTGGGAGGCACGTTGGATGAGTTATGGAGACGAACAGGGTAAAAAGTTCAGCGTCCCTACAGCTCCATGGAGGATGTCCTTTTCCAATTCGTGCCCCAAATTCAGTTTCTGAAGGGTTAGCTGGGGCTTATGGGCCACCTCTGGGGGAGAAAGGAAAAAAGAGTGCGCTGGGGGTGGAGATGCGTCCCTGCGCACGGCTTTGCAAACTGCTTCCGGAGCCGTTTCATTTTAACTTGGAGAGCTCGGAAAATGTTCCGAGGAAGTAAAGACAGTCACTGTGGCTTTCTATTTCCAAATGGCCATGTTGGGCCAGGGTCAAACCGCTCACTTTGGAGACCCAGAAAAGCAGGTTTTGGCACAGAAATGGAATAACGAGCCACTGGATCCTGAGTATCTTGTGGTTTAGGATATGAACTGTGACGTCTGATAGAAGAGAATAGAATGGTACAGAGTTTCCTGCTTGAGCAGGGGGCTGGACTAGAAGGCCTCCAGGGTTCCTCTCAACACTGCGATGCTGTTATAAGAATGTTTGAAGCTCTGTGCATTGGTGGTGCAGGAAAAGCACCAAGCTCAGAGACCATCAAGGAATTCACAGTCCTCCATTCTCCTCCTCCTCCTCCCATGCATCTGTGGCCTTTTCCGGGCTTCAATGCTTTATTCCGAAGGCCACAGATGCGTGGGAATGCATGGGAAAACCAGGGAAAGCCGAAAAGCCTTTGCCACGGAAGAAAAGTGGATGTTTGTACTTCGGAAATCAGGTGAGAGGACAATCTAGCTTCACCAGACGATCTGAACATGGGTATCACACTGAAAGTGACAGACAGATGTCTCCCCCAATTGACAAGACCGACTCGGATCCCGGAAGAATCTATAAAAGTCGCAAAGAGCGAGGGGACGGTATATATACATTTAATAAATAAACAAATCCAAGTTCAGCCACCTTCAGCAATCACTAAACTGGAAAGGAGACAGCCCTCCAGCGGGCTTGCAAACTAAAATGGTAAAAAATAATAATAATATAATAATTGAAGTCTTCCACCAGCGCCGAAGACTTAAAATCAAGCACTTTTTGGACCCGACCCAGTGTTTCGTCTTACCTTTTTGATGCAGCCGTCTTGCAGGCCCGACTCGGAATCCGTCAGCATTTGCTGGAAGGAGAAGCAGAAAAGGAAAAAAAAAAAAAAGACACCATCAGTTGACAGCTTGGGACGGAGAAGAGATTGTGTAAACTGGGTTTAAATGCAAGCAGGCTACAAAGGGGAGGATTTCAGATCTCAAAATACCCCAGTTTGCACGGAGGCAGGCCCCCTCCGTGTCCGATTTGGGTCTTCCCAGCAGCCCAAAATCGAGGGGGAAAGAGGCATAACATGTCTCTAGAGCTGGAAGGGACGTTGGAGGTCTTCTAGACCAGCCCTGTTTTCAAGCAGGAGACCCTAGACCATTTCAATCAATTGATCAATCAGAATAGAGCTGGGAGGGAATTTGGAGGTCTTCTAGTCCAACCCCCACTCAAGCAGGAGACCCTAGACCATTTCAATCAATCAATCAATCAATCAATCAGAATAGGGCTGGAAGGGACTTCAGAGGTCTTCTAGTCCAACCCCCACTCAAGCAGGAGACCCTAGACCATTTCAATCAATCAATCAATCAATCAATCAATCAATCAATCAATCAGAATAGAGCTGGAAGGGACTTCGGAGGTCTTCTAGTCCATCCCCCACTCAAGCAGGAGACCCTAGACCACTTCAATCAATCAATCAATCAATCAATCAATCAGAATAGAGCTGGAAGGGGACCTTGGAGGTCTTCTAGTCCAACCCCCTGCTCAAGCAAGAGACTGTATCCCATTCTGGACAAATGGCTATTCAGTCTTCTTAGAAAACCTCCAATGATGGAGCACCCACATCTCCTAAATCGTTTGTGATGATCACAGCGGTCAAGGAAACAAATATCTGGACGAAACCAAGAGTGCTGAATTCCATTTTCAGTACAAGCCAGCCTCCCTATTTAAGTTCCCTGTTTAGCCGTGCACATCCATGGCAGCTCAGGCCTTTCCAGACCGATGCAGTTTTCCAGGCCCAGATCAGTCGGCTAAAAAGCGCCACAGAGGAGAGAAAAAAAAAAAAAAACTCCTTCCCCCCCCCCTTCCCTCCTCCAGTGCTTGGAAACCAGAAAGCATTTGGACCGGTTGAGATTTTTTTTTATTTATTATTATTTTTTTTGCAAATCCTCCCCACTTTTGGGAACTAAACATGTCGGGAGACGCCATGTGAATCTTTTTGAAACACAGTTTACAAGTCGGCATGCTCCGTCTGCATTCAGCTCTAATTTGATTACATTCTCCAGACAGGATCACAATGATTTGTGTAAATAGTAATATTACCCATTCATCCCCGTGTGCTCAAATAAATCGTTAGGCCGTGCGTGCGTGCGTGCGTGCGTGCGTATATGTGTGTGTGTGTGTGCGCAAAATCACCAGGAAATACGCAGGGGAAGGCAACTTAAAAAAAAGGGGGGGGGGAGAAAGGGAAGGAAAGGAACAGCAACTACTGCATAAAGTTTGTTTGTAAAAAGTTAATATGAAGAAAGGTCCAGAAATCAAAATGCTTACAGTGATGAGCAAGGCAAGCAATCTCGTTGAACACACAAAGGGAGAAAACTAAGCATGAGAAGGACAACCTTTAAACCAGTTTTAATCAGGGTGTGTTGAATAAGCCACCATGGTTCAAACACAAAGCCACAATAGCTGGGTTTCTCCACCGGACTTGAGTTTGTTTTCAGCCCTGCTTTGTCAAATGGATGGAAATATTTTTGACATCTTCTGATGAGTGAAGTCAAGAGGCGAAGCCCGACTCAAAATTAACAACGGCGTTACTTGTTTAACGACTACCCGGGTTCGCTTAACTAGAAAGGTGACTAGAAAGGTGGTGAAACGGGGCAAAAGGTCTCTTAACAAACGTCTCACTTAGCTACTGAAATTTTGTTTGTAAGTCAAGGACTACGTGGGTAAGGACCCCTGTCCTGAGCAAGGGGTTGGGCTGCATTAACAGAGGGACAGAATCAAGATCACGTGAAGAGTTAATACCGCTTTACAAGGCCTTGGTAAGGCCACACTTGGAATGCTGCATCCAGTTTCGGTCACCACGATGTAAAAAAGATGCTGAGACTCTAGAAAGAGAAGCAGAGAAGAGCAGCAAAGATGATCAGGGAACTGGAGGCTAAAACATATAAGGAACAGTTGCTGGAATTGGGGATGTCTAGTTTGACGAAGAGAAGGACGAGGGGGGACATGATAGCCGTCTTCCAGTATCTCAGGGGCTGCCCCAAAGAAGAGGCAGTCAAGCTATTCTCCAAAGCGCCCAAAGGCAGGACAAGAAGCAACGGATGGAAACTCATCAAGGAGAGAAGCAACCTAGAACTAAGGAGAAACTTCCTGACAGTTGGAAAAGTTAACTAGTGGAACAACCTGCCTCCTGAAGCGGTGAATGCTCCAACACTGGAGGTTTTTAAGAAGAGACTGGACAGCCATTTGTCTGAAATGGAATGGGGTTTCCTGCCTGAGCAGGGGGTTGGACTAGATGGCCTCCAAGGTCCCTTCCAACTTTATTATTATTAGAAGAAGATCTCCCCAGTCCCTTCAATGACTCATCTACCACCATGGCTATCTGTGGGAAAGGGTCAGAAGGAAGCCAAAAAAAAAAAAAAGTCACACTCTCCTGGTTCCTTCCGAACGCTGATGCCGACAAGATTTTTCTCCTCCTTTAAACTCGATGTCCGTCCCTTTTTTTTTTTTTTTTTAATCTGTGTCTTTCTCGGGCGAAGCTAAATCAACAGCAAGAACAAGCTTGATCTTTGATATCAAGAGGTCAGGATCTCACTTCAATAAAGCAAAGTAGGGAATAAATTAAAGGGGTTGGGTGGGGCTAGCCGCGCTCCGATCCGTCCATTCATTTCCAGCAACCTTTTTCATCCGAGGGGTGACCTCAATATCGACAAACGGATAAAAAGGGAGATGAATTCCTTCTAGTGCTCGGGATATTGAGAGCTGTTTGGAGAGGATGAGCGGTAATCATAATACTTAAACCGGGAACGTCGTTATTTCTTCGGCGTTATTAATGCCGGCACGTGATCTGCTGGATTAATAGAACAGAATAGAATCACAACAATGGGAAGGGACCTTGGAGGTCTTCTAGTCCAACCCCTTGCTCAAGCAGAAGACCCTCTATCATTTCACACAGGCGGCTGTCCAGTCTCTTCTTAAAAGCCTCCAGCGATGGAGCACCCACAACTTCTGGTGGCAAGTCGTTCCACTGGTTAATTGTCCTCACTGTTAGGAAGTTTTGCCTTAATTCCAGGTTGCTTCTCTCAATAATAATAATAATAATAAAGTTGGAAGGGACCTTGGAGGTCATGTAGTCCAACCCCCTGCTCAGGCAGGAAACCCTACACCATTTCAGACAAAGGGCTGTCCAGTCTCTTCTTAAAAACTTCCAGTATTGGAGCATTCACCACTTCTGGAGGCAGGCTGTTCCACTGGTTAATTGTTCTTGATTAGTTTCCATCTGTTGCTTCTTGTCTTGCCTTCTGATGCTTTGGAGAATAAGTTGATCCCCGCTCCCTCTTCTTTTGTTTCAAGGCCTGGCACCTTGAGAGAAAAGATGGAGATGGGTATCAGATCGGATACCCACCAGCCCAAAATCCCAGGCGCTCTCCCACGGTCTGACTCAACCTGTCCAACAGGCGGAAATCATTTGAGTCTTCTTCGCTGGACCAAGTGGCATCCGGAGAGGTAGAAAAAAAACCCGGACAGCAGAGAGTGACACAAATCAAATGGTCAGCCGTCTGTCACTTTGACAAGTCCCAGCCCGAAGTGGAAAAGATAAACCTTGGAGGATCTACTAAAAATAACCCCTCGCTCCGTTCTCTGGCTGAACGATTCAGAAAAAGAGAATTTGTCTGGCCTTTTGATCAAAGAGAGTTTGAACAAAATTACTCAGGAAAGGAGGCTTGGAAAAAGTGAGGGTGCAAAGTTACTACTTTTACAGCTATCTACAGCCTCCCTGGCTGTTCATCCTCCTGCTTCATCCAGGAGAAAAATCCTCGTAGCTGTTGTTTAAAAAAAAAAAAAAAAATCCTGGGCAAAAACAGGCAGCCAAAGAGATTGCAAAACTTTACAGCGGAAAGGAAGGCGGAAGAGCTAAATTAAGATGTTTTTTTTTGTCCTAAACTTCTGCACGCGGATTGAGAGATGCAGAACCACGTTGCACTGGTGGCCCAAACCTTTGCACTACACCAAATTTCTGTCGCTAAACGAAGCAGTGCTTGTCAAAAGATCACAAAAGGGGAGTCACCAAATTTCTGTCGCTAAACGAAGCAGTGCTTGTCAGAAGATCACAAAAGGGGAATCACGTGATGCCGGAGGCCCTGCGACCGTCATAAATATGAGTCGGTCGCCAAGCGTCCGAATTTTGATCGCCATAGGAATGCTGCAGGGCTCATAAATGGGGAAAAGGGTGATTAAGTCCCTTTTTTCAGTGCCCAATGGTCACTAAACGTAGTGTCGTAAGTTGAGGACGACCTGCGTTTTTCGGAAGACGCTGTTTGTAAAGATTTGGGGGACTCCAAACAGGATATCAAAGAAGGAAAGAAATGGCACAGGGGCCCCCATTTCTTCCTGTTTTGGGGGGATCAAGGCGCGCTGCTGGTATTCAGTTCGGAGTGAGGTTAACGCAGCGACCGAGTGGATTAACTTCCATCCGAAGCATATAATTGCTTCTCTCTTTCTTTTCTCGTTTGAAGGGGGTTTTTGGAAAGCCCACTATGTTGTTTTCCCGGAACAGACAGTGGGCTCAGGTGAGTTTGCTTTTAAGAGCTGTTGAAACAATCTCCGGCACAATTTGATAATGTTATGCTTGGAATGATAATATTATGTTTCAAAAAAAAAAGGCAATATTTTAACTTCCATCCGCCAGGCGATATGCGGGTGGGTGGTGAATTCTACCCACCTTCTTTCCTTCCCCCGTGGTTTTTTTTTTCCTCTCCTTCCCTGGATGCTGGAATTCCAGGAAATCAGTTGTGTGAAAGGAGGGTGAAAATTTTTGGGGTGGGTGGAAATGATCGGCCTTGGAGCCACGGACAATGGGTACAA